GACCCATTTCCTCTGTATCCCCGAATTGAGACTCCGAAGCCGGGTGCAAATAAGAAACGCTGTTAGCAATTATAGTGGCATCAGCAGCAGCATGAGTCTGAATCCCAGCTTCTTGAGACTGCTTATCATCAGCCAAACCAATAGAACGTACAGCGGAGTCAGCAACACCGGATTTAAGAAGTATCGAATCAGGCGACAGATACAATACTAGATTCATACAACGTAGGCCTGCCATACCTAATATCACAGAGGTAGAGAGAATCGGACTCACAAGACACCAAACTGGGATCACTTCTGACTTGCCAGGAGCAGAAAAATGCAATAACACAGCAGTATTAGGGGTAAACTTGCGACAATCAGCCATCATAACCTCCACCTTCTCTCCTCTTGTATCATGTATGTAGTCAGGATGATCTCTCATCCAAGCTTCAGCTACGAAGGACCTTGCTGCCCCCGTATCCAAGAGAACTCGATGTTGCTGAGGTTTAGAATTAGAAGTACGAGAGTGCACCATCATACCAGCTGTCAAGGGTGATACACGAGCCGCAGTTGAGGCCGAAGAGTGAGCAAGCCAGGTAACATCAGTCGCAGGAAGGAGAGAGTACGCATTGGTCGTAGAAGTACCCTCACCTCCTGGCTTACTCTCATAAGTCGTAGGAGTGGCCTCCTTCTGAGATTCTTGAGAAGGACTCGATAAGATCCTTCCTCTACACACTGCTGGTACATGATGTAATCCACCACACCGTTGACATGTGAGTTGCTTGTTCTTCGCAGCTAGGCGACAATTCTTCCCCACATGTCCTGTGCGACCACAGCACAAACACCGACATTCCAACATACCAGGTAACTGAGCTGGACATGATTTGGCCGCATGGCCTTTCTCGAAGCATCTTAAGCATCGAGCTTCCCTCCGTAGTCTATCAAAATCAATATAAGGCTTCACAGATTGAGATGGTAAGGCCAACATTTGAGTCGTCTCTTCATCCTGCGGATAGGTATCCACAGTCTTTGCAATGTGAACCTCTGTCACTGGAGACCTCAGCAGCGTAGGCAATGTCTTCTCCACACTCTGAGTCTGCTGCTTATTGAGAGAACGACTCCGACTGAGGACCATCATACGAGCATGTTCATAAGCCACATTCTGTAACCGATAAGCCAGAATCCAGTCATTATACGGAGCCATTAGACTATTACATAGAAGATCATATAATTGGTCATCAGTCACAACATCTCCTTGTAACCTCAGTCGACTCGCATATTGATCCACTGTATACAAATGATCAGAGACCAACTCCCCTGACTTCTGTTTCAAGCTGTTAAACTCAGCCCTGAGCTTGATGATGTCACCCGGATCGTAGTACTGATGTCGGAGTTGGAGCTTCAAGCTGTTGTATAGATCTTCAAATCGGCCTTGATTCAAATCGCAAGGTGGTAAGGCATCCCGAACTTTAGCACTTAATGAATATAGGAGCATATAGTAAGCCGTTGGAGTCGTGATACCGATAGCAAGTTGGCCCATAAGCCGTTCTGTAGACATAAAATGCTCCATGATAGACGGCCCCTTCTCCGAAGGGTTCCAATGTGGGTGCTTAGCCGCTTCTAGTTCGGCCCTTGCCTCCTTCCGACATTCCCGCAGTATAGAGCTTCTTGGTCGGTGGTGCTGTTCTGTATGCTCATCAGTGTCGACCTCCTCTTCCTCTATCTTCTTAGAGTTGGGGGATTTCTTCTTAACCATCACCAGTTATAGTTCTCGGATGATTGTTGATCTATTCCAACCAGGGGTATTGAGATAACACAAGTATAGCCAAGATAGGATAGGTGCAAGATAGGATAGGTCTCGTATCAAGTACACCGAAATAAGGAAATAACTTTGTGCCACATCCAACGAACAAAATAGCTATTCTACTACTAAGAACAGCAAGACTTCAAGATCTCAAGAGATCAATAGGCACAGACAACATGTTACATGTCTTTATCGGGTGCACTGTGACGACACGCTCGGGAAAGATCAGCGCAAGTCGTATCGCGCACGCCCGTATATCTGTAGAGTGATAAGTATCTGAAACGATTGGATTCTGTAACCGCTCGTTGGAGCGACCTTTGAGTATAGACTGAGTATTAGAGTCTCAGCCTTAGAGCAGGAGAACGTGATTGTTGTATCATGTATTGCTCGTAATTAAGGACCGTTTCAATCTGAGTATTAGAGTCTTACTACGGCTATTATTGCTGTAAGTTACAGCCTGTTACAGTTACTGTATTACAGCCTGTAACGCTAGTCACCGCCTCAATCTCCTATCTCCCGTGAAACTGCTCTGGCAATACTTTTGTGCGCGCCATACGCACGCATCAACATGTGGATTCGAATATCTCAAGACCAATCTCTTGTCACCGGATTCCAGTTTCAGCCATGCTTGAGAGGGCATCCGTTAGGGTACAGTTCTATATGTAGTACATATTATGTACACGGATGATCAGCCAATTTCCACGGCTCGCTTAAATTTAGCTTTTACGTTTGCAACCCTATTCAGTAGGCAGGTCGCACCTGCGTGATTGCGTGAAAGGAGCACAATACACACACGTTAAACGTAAAGACAGATCACGTGAGAAGTAAACATCACACTGACGTGTATGGATGTCAATGAGACCTCCCTCCACCTTCTATGCATTTCTAGCTCGGCCGCCCTATCGGCGTGACGCCGACGGCGTCACACTATGCGCTTCCGCGAGGTTCTGAACTTTTGTCCATGCGATCCAAAGCATGGTGAGCAGAGTGTCCAAGACCCGAACCCAAACCAGACTCAATTGACTTCTCATACCGCCTCTCACGAACCTTACGAGAGGCATAACCCCTGACCTCAGCAATCCTAGACACGGGTATAGGATGGTCAGTGCAATCCACCATAGTATTAGAGCTCTTACCACTTCGAGTCAGTACCATGAATAACTTATTGAACTCAATATCTGTCACTTGACGAGTACCGTATACTATCCCTCAGCTATTGATAGAAGCGTAGCCACTAGTGGTTATACAACAGTGAAACCGTATACCTTAGACCCTGTGCCTAAGTCTAGGCTCCAAGGGAAGATTCATAGAATCAACTTCAGAACCAACCTTAAAACCTTATGTGTGGCGCGCCTGCGTTCACGCAGGAATGATGGACAATACGCATGCACAGACCGTGATTCGCACAAAGCAATATCACAGCCGTAACACAGTAGAACCGTAACGAAATGATATCATACTATCGGTATAGCATGATCACACGTTAGCAGGGCTCCGTACTCTGCGCTGAACCGCACAACGCCCAACGATCGGTCCGATCAGATCGGAGACGGCACGAAAGTTGATTGCCTGTGAGCTGTCTTTTTTGTTCGCCCCTTTTACTCATAGCTATCGTTAGCCTTCGTTATCTTCATCATAAGTTCTCATCTCATTGTTTCCATCAATGTATTCATCGAGATGCAAGTTGGTGATATCGGTGGTGGTGATTTCGGTACTATCAGTGTTCGCCAAGGAACCCAATGGGCACTACATGGGATATGCTATGAATCCTGTTTATCTTCGAATGGATGCCGTATTTACCAAGAAGGCCTCTAACACTACTGAACTGTACCTTCGTTTCGGTATTGTATGCGGTGCTGCCCGTAAAAAGTTCGAAAAGTTCTTCAATGTCGGGCCTTCACTGCCGCCTGGGGCATATGCAATTTTGGCCCCTATACCACCCGCGTATGAGCAACTCCTATCTTTCTACAACAAGGAATGTGGCCGCACCCCGGCAGTTGATCCTGATTTCTTCAAATTCTTCTACGAACAACGAGCTAACCGTGTGTATGTTAAGGTCCAAGGGTCTGGGAAGGATAAGGATAAGTTTTACCTAAATAAGTATGAAGCCTAACTTTGGTACCGTCAGGTTGAAGGAGATAAGATGGTCTTCCATGGAGTAGAGTCTACTGTAACATTTCTTTTAGCATCTCCCTAAAGTCTCATCAGATGCTTTATCATGAATCCTTACTAGACTTTTTTCCCGATTACATTGATGCTTCTTAATAAGAAGTTCTTATCAATTTTCACAGAGAATTTCACTCGAGAGGATGGATATATAACTATTCGCTACACACTGTTGACCACAGTGTAGTACACAGTGTGTTCGCTGTCATTGGAGTATACTGAGCATGCGTCTGGTCGTACGAAGGGTCACACTAAGCTGGCCATATGATCGAGCCGACTCTAACGTCACTTTGGTTGTCTCATTCGATATATGTGTTAGAGGAATGTTGAGGGCAACTTTTTAGTCCTTTAAGTTTATAGTGATCCGCCAAGGCCTACTACCTCCTGCTACCTTTGTTGTTTGTGCGTTTGCGTCTGCGTGCCAACTTGCACGTGTACACAGTTGTGGTATCAGACTCAGTGTAGCACGATCCACATTGTAGAGATCGGTACTGTAGCCATCTGGCTCAAGTTCTGCCTTGTTGGGTTCAGTCAATGTCCACCAACCCTCAAGCGAGCGGACTACCTGGCGTTAACAATGCTGTATGAGACACCAAGGCATGCCAGGGTGGCTGAAGGCTGAGGAAGAATCATTCTTCCCTTCCCCAATAATTCCCGTTTTAGTTCCCGGGAATAATGACTGGTCAAAAAGGGGAATAATAGACCTTATTTGGGGAATTATTGTACAAAATCGCCTTTTTCTCCAACATCACCCCAAAAGAAAGTCCGAAAACATACATAGGCGTCTTAGAAAACCTTCTCGGCCGTAAGGCCGAAAAAATACGAGCTTTCTCGCATCCTGTCACTTTTTTTGATATCGAACGTCACTGACGTTACGTCAGGGCGAGCGCGTGCGAGATGTTCGCAATTCGCAAGTTGCACAACGGGCCAGTAACTGGCCGCCAGTGACGTTGCGTTCATACCCCACTGGTCCCAGTACCTCATCGTGGTGTGGAGGTTACTGGATGGTGAATTCTAACAAGATCGAAACTGGGATCAAGCTGCCACCACTTACATGCTACCCCACCCAGGAAAAAATTCTCACCTCGGGTTCGTCACTGTCGTTACGACAGTGTCGTACTCTGCATTCTGCTCCAGGATTTCTGGATTTCTCTGAGAGCGCCGTTATGCTGGATGGCTTCGTCCGCACTGGGAGAAGCTTTCTTAGTGCATTCACACCCTGGGACCCGAGATAGCTGATAGTATCAGCCAGGCTGGTTGTATACCGTAGTAATTTTTGGCAGTATTTGCTAGTGGCATTGTTGTGAGAGGGCGATTGGCCTATGGCCCACAATAAGATTTGAATCAGCTCGAATTGAATGGAATTGAATTGAATTGAATTGCGTTTATGGGAACAGAAGTCTCAGTTGTTGTGTAACACAACACAACTTGTGTTGTGTGTGTACTTTCGGTTCACCCGGTTCTCTTATGAAGACACACCGCCAGTTCTTCACTGGCTCTCCGTCATCGTCGTAGGCTACGAGTCGTAGGCTACGACTCGTATGCAAGGTACTCCAATATGTGCTGGTTTGGGTCTAGGTTCTCAGGATTGCACCTTCGAGGCATGATGAGAGTCACAATAGCTGAGGCCGATCGAACAAAGATGATCAAATCATCGTGAGGTGATCAGGAACGAAGCCGGCATAAGAGAGTTCTACACATGAGCATTGCCATGAGCGCGCGCCCGATCGATCGACGTCGTCTTTAATTCAGTGATCCACACTGAAAGAGCCGTTAAGGATTAGTAAGACGTCAAGAGGCGTCACACTATTGCGCTGCGTATCCTCTTGTTCGTACGTACTAGTCTTCGACCACCCGACTGTGGTATTGTGTTGCGGAATAGTACCCGCACATCGACTCCAACACTCCAAACAAGGAATTTTCTACCGGGATGAGTAACCAAGGTGACGACGATCACGACAACGTGCAGGCCCTTGCCGAGTTGGTGAACCCAACACTGAATCAGCTGACCGAAGCAATCGGTCAACTCATCCAGCAGCAGCAGGAAACAACTTCTCTTCTGAGAGACGTGTTGCTGAAGCAGCCCGAGAAGGAGAACGTCGAGGCGGGCGAGGCCACTAAAAAAGAAGAGATCGGCAAAACCTCCACCGATCCCACCAAATCATCTCATGGGTTCTCTCTTCCTGAAGCCACACCTCGGGCGGAGACAATGGAGCAGACTCCTGCGGAGTATCCACACCGGAGGCTGGCCTATGCTCCGGCAGCGAAAAGACCGGGGTTGTGTACGGGCTGTGGATACATCCCCTGCTCAAGTCCAGTGTCTGATCACCAGCTGACTGACGCGCTTAAAGCCGTGAAGTTGTTGAAGGCACCTGAAGGAGGGCCTTTCAAGGGCATAGCAGATGATAGAACTGGTATGTCATTCCAGAGGGAGGTGATGAAGAACTGCGGGAGAATGTCCTCGGTTGTTCTCTATCATTATCTACTTCGATATACGACTCATTCGGCACAACAGTCGGTGGATGTCAGCGAGGAGTGGCCTGTGAACTGTCTAATAGATTACAACTCGGCCGTGTCGGAGATATGGGCTAGACTACTATCCGCGTTCAGTGGCCAAGCAACATCTGAGAGTATTCTACAGTCCTGGAATAATCTCCAACAACATCGAGAAGAAGGAGTAGAAGATTATATCACCAGGGTTATGGTTATGGTCACTGAGCTTCGCCTAGCGGGGCTCGAAAGACCCGAGAGAGAGGTGAAAGCCAAACTCCGTTGCGGTCTCTCTGATCGAGAGCTTCAAGGGAAACTACTGCAACATGGTCGATTGCATCTCAAAAACTTCATGGAGAAGATAGTCGAGGAG